AAAGTTTCTCAAATTATGACGAGCAAGGATTTGAGAAACGTTGTGAAAGTTCTCAGTGTTGGAATGCCGCTGATGTGAGCTGGGACCGCGTTCTGAGGATGTGTGGCTCCTCTGTTCAACTGTTTTCTTTTTACATCCCCGTCCCCCCTGCTCTGGGCCAAGTGCCTACATTCTGCTTCACATGGAGAAACTCTTTAAGAACAATGTCATGGATTTCAATGATTTTTCCCGTCAAAAAAAGGGACATTTTGAAGAATCTGACAATGGTGATAAGAATTATGCTTTTGTCTGAGATTGTTTGTACAGTCTCTACAGCCTTTTGTCATATCAGACGTCTGCGTGATTTATGAATAAAGATTACTTACTTATTAATATTGAATGACAAATTTCCCTGATAGAACATTTTCGGACATTTCTTTTATTATTTTTTTATTATTTCATTATTATATTCTGGACTTTAAAACTACTATTCTTATAAGCAATAATCTCAACATTGTGCTTTTGAAACAATATTTTGAACATAACATTTCAACTTGACATTGAATACCATACAATTTCAGTTTGCTTTTTTTCACCTTTGACTTTGTGTTTTTATATTGTATTGTGTCTATATCATTGCATTTCATCCACAGAAGCTTTGAAAAGCTAATTCAGCGGCACTATTGTTAATTCCCTTTGCGTCCTTGGTGGTCACACTCTCTCATCCTATCATGTAAGTCAGGCAAAATTTAACAGAGGCACCACAGATCCAAAAATGGAGGGGGAAGAAGAGAAAGAAGGGATAAAAGTTTGAGAATTTTTGCCGATTCCTGCACGTTTGCTTAATTTGATTTTGAGAACAATGGTTTTAACTGGCAAGCAGAAAAAGGCAAGATTTAATTACAGCAATTCAACCTGGGTCGTACTTCCAGCTCCTGTGACAAAACTCCCTCAAATGGCGACTCATTACACACGCAGAAGTACTGTCTTTGCAGCTGCTACCTTGTTTTTTATTAATGATAGCTAATTTAAACAACACATGCAGGAAGAGTGAAGAAATACAATGAGAACCGGTGTAACGTCTGTGATTGCAAACCACGCAGGCGGCCAATCAAAACTGGAACAATATGTACCAAACTCCTTCCCAAGCAAAATACCAATTAGATTTAGTAAAGATTTTTTTCTAAGTGGTCGTACATTTGTTTGCTGGTGGTTAGGTGTTGGATTGGTATTTTGTATTTTTTCATTACTTCACTGCATACATGATGGTGATGAGCTACTACTGTAGTCACAGCTGCCCTGGGTCATACTGACAGCCGTAAAAAGCACGCCACCAAATTTGTTTCGGGGATTTCTCCAGTCAGATAGTGTTTTTTCAACTTTATAGGTGATTCACAAATCCCGTATATCTGTTTATCCATAATGTAATGGTATTTTATTGGGGCTGTAAATTTTTTTTTTTTATCGAGTTAATTACAGCTTAAAAATTAATTAAACGTAATTAATCGCATTGCTAACTATCGTCAACATTATGCCATATTTTTCTGTAAATGGTTGTTTGAATGGAAAGATAAATGACAACATAATGCACTGTATTAGTTTATTATGACGACAATAAATCCTCATAAAACGGCATTAACATTATTAAAACATAATGCCTTTCTGTAGTGATTCAGGGCAAAACTATTTTTTGTTAAAGGGACATTTCAAAAAAGTCTGAAATGCAGAATGTCATTACACCTGCTCACAACATTTTACTTCTGGGCACAACCAACATGAACTGGTAGTGGAAGAGAAAAATTAGGTACCCCATCTTTAATTTAGCGAATGCGCTTCGGGAGAAGACACGGAGGAGACTGAGGAACCAAAGTCAAGCTTTAGAGGTGTATTTAATGCATCATAGACAGGTTACACAAAGACACGCACACAACAGGCAGAGAATAGTCCTGCGCGCATGACGTTAAGGCGGCGCCGTTTGCCGTGTTGTTGTCAAAGCGACAGCCACTGGAGGAGGGAGCGTCTGTCCAGAGCGGCCGCAGCTGCCCCGGGTCAGAACGCTGCGGCCAGAGAGGATGCTCCCGTTCAGTTCATAGGAAACAACAACAAGTGCCCTGCGGTCACACGCGTTTTCTTTTAAAACTTGAATTCCCAGGGGACTGTTCTGTCGAGATCACTCGCCTGTGTCAGCGGCCTTCTGAGTGTTATTATGGGATGCATGAGTGGGTTAAATGCGTTTTTTTAATTTTTTTATTTGCGTTAACACGATAATTTTGACAGCCCTACATTTCATGTTCATTATTTCCACCAGGAGGTAATGTAATCAACATGGTTTGTTTGTTAGGTGATACATACAGATAAAGTTCATGGTGGATATTCACAAAATTGTAGCACTGTGTTACATTGTGAAACAAATTTTCACAGAAATAATCATTGTACAGAAAATAAACCTCTAGATTATAATTAATATTTAATACATTTCTAATGAGAAAAGGGTTTGTTAAGATTGCTACATAACAACATACAGCAAACTTTGATTGACATTGCTATAATTGTATATGACTTCTAGCAGAACAAATGTTTCCTTTCACCTGAGCGGTTCTAAAGCGCTCTTTTATGTCTCATTCCTGTTTTGCTCCATCCCCATCAGCACCCGCTACCTTCAGATCAGATAGATGTTTGAGCCTGGTCTCTATCTCCAGCTCTAACTACTGCTGGTCCCAGTCCGATGATTAGGCGCCTCTCAAAGGGGCAGGTGAGTTAGCAGACGCAAACTCTCTCTAATGAGCTGAGCTTTTGGCCCCAGCCCCCCCCATCCCCACCCACACTGTGTCCCGTCAGCACTGGCCCTCCCTCTGTGGACCCCTGAGTGCGGTCTGTCCCGGGAGGGGGTCCTCAGCACACCTGTTCTCCTCACGGCCCCCCATCTCTTTGTAATCACTACATTTCTGCACTCCCCAGTCGATAAAGGGGTATTCCTCATCTCCCCGCTGAGACCTCTTCTATAGTCTGTTTTTCTCTGTTTTTCCCCTTCCGACTTTGTTTAACGATCAACTTGTTGATGTGTATTGTCACTTGTGCGTCTTTACTAGATATTAATCACAGTGTTTGCTTCGATCACAGCAGTAAGCAAAAGTAAATGCTGAAGACATTATTTCTAAAAATTGGTGTGTATTTAAGCAAAACTCCTGACTGATAATGAGGACCAAGTGCTGCACCAAACAACAGAATTTAAACATCATTAAATTTGCAATATTACAAGAGATTATGCACATATTATTTTTAACCATATTACATGTTACAGCATTGTTTCCTCATCAAAAACAGACCTGGTCTTGTACTTAGTTGCATCCATGCTAATATCAGGAACATCAGGTTCTGTGTAATGCTCCTGTCTCTATCTCAGTACACCATGACATACATCGTTGGATACATTGGAGAAGTTTTGCCAGTCAAAGTATTAAAGTATTACGAGTAAAGTATTATTCCAGTCATGAATCATGTTTTGTACAACGGGGACTTCAATTGCGGCACACAATGTTTAATATTGACAAAAATAGCAGTAATAAAACACCACCATCTGGAAGTGGAAGTAGGAGGTCTTCTTCTTGATCATTTACAGTATATGATTTCACATTCTAAAACTTGAAATGTCTCAAGATCACGTTAAAGGGTAAACCCATTTATAATCACTCATGTATGTACGAGTAGAAAATACAGTCTGACTGAATATCATTTACCAATCAATTCTTACATTCATTCAACTGAAGGACCTTTGATTATAGAGTTACTTGGATTGTGCTTTTTATGTTTGAGCATCATCAAGACACACTTACTCCTCACACTCATATAGAAAGAAAATATATTGCACATATTGAAAAGGTGCATTTCAAATTGCTTCACAATTCAAAACACTTCAAAAACATGTACATCAGAAGGACAATGCAAGAAGCTAACACAGTGATAAAAGTACAATATAAATACACTACATATAATAATAATAATAAAAAAAGAATAAACATGTCTTACTACAGTAGCGGTGAAAAGGAAAAGCAGGTAACCTGGATTTCAACCAGGATGTTTAACCTGGATTTGGAAATTATATTTCCAGATTATTCTGGCCAAAAGCAACAAAAAAAAACAGCTGGAGTTCCGTAAATACAGGCTTTTGTTTTTTACTTTAAAAAATAACATTATATAGTATCTTGATGACAAATAGATACATAATTGACAGACATTAGGTAAATGTGAGACTTAAGGACTTAAAACAAAACATGTACAGAACTTTAATAGAACTTCAAATTTGTATTTGAATTTAGAAGCGTGGCTAACCACAAGCCCATAAGAAAAGTTATGTCTCCATCTGAAGTAACTAATCCATTCAAAATGTAAGGAGTAAGTACTGATATGTTGGTTAAAAGTAAGGAGTAAAAGTATTACCTAGTAAAGTATACCAGGAACTAAAGTACTTACTGTAAAAGTATAAAATATTTGGTTTCACTTGGATTTAGTTCTCATAATCTTTTTGAAGCTACAAGCAAATACATGTGTTCTGTAATATTTTCTAAACATTATGACAAAGGTTTGTGTAATTGTCAAAACCATCCACAAAGAACCAAATTGCTATATTGATATTTCCATTATGATAATGTCAGAAATTCTTGAGATAATCGCTTTACTTTATTGGTCATGCAGAACATATAATATATGAATGCAATGATACTGCTGTCCCCATGAGTGACAAAGGGCCACCTGCCTCAGCTCCTCCCGGCCCGTTCCCAAGACAACCCTTTGCCTTTGTTAATTAGGGCAAATTTTTGTTTACATAATGAACTTGAGGGTCGCTGACGACAAACGGCATCATGGGAAAAGGCGGGGGTGAGGGGTTGAGGCCAGATGGATGTGTGTTAAATGGTCGCTCACAGTGAAGCCCCCTCCAGGACCAAAAAACATCTTCTACCTGCCACCTCACAGCAGAAGGGTCCCCAGGCACATGCAGACACGTGTTGTGGCGTTGGCTGGGGATGCAGGGAGGTCTGTTCTGCAGGACCAAAGTTAGGCCTCGTCTAATTAGTCCAGCCGCTCTGATGACAAACACGAGAGGAGACTGTCCCAGGAGGAGAGTGTCCGTGGAGTTCTCTAATGGTGCAGAGACCTTCTGTCCCACGGCTCTGTCCCCACGGCCGCGCCTCAGGCCTCACTGCAGCCATCTGCCAGTTTACATCAGCTCTTCACTCAACCAGACCAAAACAACAACTGCAAACAACAGGACACTCATCTGCATATTCTGATGTTAGTGTTATATAACAGAAAAGGAAGGTCATTTAACACTGGAGAGGTGATCCAGAGATGTTTTGTAATTCTCATATACATATTTATCATTTGTCTATCTATTAAAATGTCTTGTTAGCACCTCATTCTCTATTGAAATTGAGTGGTAATTGTCCATTGAAGCCTATTCCTCTGCTGACCCTATGCTGCTGCTGGTTTGTATAAAAGGGCAAGTGCTGCCAGTCAGACGTCCATCAAGGCTGCGCCCCGGCGGGCCAGCGTGGGGCAGTAATCCCTGGAAGTGCCCCTATGGTTCACTCCCTTATCCCCTCCATCCTTCCCTCTATAGCTCCCTTCCCTCCATGCTGTTGTTTTCCTCTCCCCTCCCCAGGTGGGGGGTGTTTGGACCACGCAGCATGACCTGGCTGCCAGGGGAGGATCCAGGGAGGGGCCCCGGGCCACAGGTGAGGCCTGAGCTCAATCTACCCCCCTCCATCCTGCCTCTCCCTCCACCTCCCCTGGGTGCCACCTTCACCAGGCCTCCTCCTCGCCCATGCCCAGCAGGCCAATCAAGCCCTATCTGAGTGGCACGCAGCCTGGGACCAGGGGAGGGGGGATGGGGGCATGCAGGCCGCGGCCCCATGTGGACCTCCTGTCCCTCTGAAGGGCTCCCCTATCTGGGTCCTGTGTTTAATTACCTCGCTCATCTTCATTAATTCATGGGCGTTTATGCCCTGCAGCACGTCAGAGGTGAGAGAGCCACATCAACAACAACAACAGCCACACAGCAGCAGCTGGAGAGAAGCCTGACCGGGACTCCCAGAGGCCTGAGCAGCCTGACCGGGACTCCCAGAGGCCTGAGCAGCCTGACCGGGACTCCCAGAGGCCTGAGCAGCCTGACCGGGACTCCCAGAGGCCTGTGTCCTGCACATCAGACCCAGCTCTCAGCTCTGGGCTCTGGGGTCAGCTCAGACTCTGCCCTGGAGACTCTGGATTAACTCCTCTGAGTGGGAGCTGAGCTGGGGTCAAAGTGACCATAATGACACCAGAGGTTAGCTGCTCACACGCTGCTGCGACATAAGAGCTGTGGGGAATTCCGAGGTGGACCAAGGGATTGGCCTGAGCACAGGTCTCCAGGCTCAACATGTCCGGCCGCAAATCAATTCAGCTAATCCCTCCATGACTCAAACAATTAACAAAGAAGATGTCCATGTGCCAACATGTCCAATGTAATTTGTGCTAGCTCTTTTGAAATAGGAAAGCTGCTTTGTATATAATCATTAAATTTCAGTTGTATCTTTGTGCAGGGGTGATGTCAGAGCACTCAGAGTCCGATCCAAGCGCTGCTGTTGTGGTCTTTGTTTCCATCTGAGCTCCAGGACTGTGGCCTCAGCGGCTCTCCCTGACACCCGGGTCCCACAGAGCAGAAAGTTAATACTGCGGCAGATGTGTCGCCTGTATGCTGCCTCTCGGCCATGCACCCCCTCCTCCCCCTCACCCTCTCCCTCCTCTTCTGCTCTTCCTCCGGCAGACTGACACACATCCGGCCTCACACAAACACCACATTATAGAGACTTTTGGTTATCCTTAATCAGATTCAATCTTCTTTTGGAAATGCCATTTGGTGTTAAATGATCATAGGGACGTTGCGGTGAAATGAAATAACCTAGAATCCTCAAACAATTTCTATGAGTATTTCTAGATGATATGAGCTCAGCCGGTATGGTCAAAAATCTCTATAGAGAAAGGAAGAATTAATAAATATTTGAATTTTTTTAAAAATTGCTTGAGTCCACAACCCTTTTCCCTGAAAAGCACATGTTTGTCACAACAAAAAGAGTCTTGTAAAAGTAAAACGGCGAGAACAAATTAGACCACAGCAAACTTTCTACATTTTATTAGAAACCCTTTAATTTATTCTACATTTGGGCGGAGTGAGGGTGGTCTTTCACACTTTGTCTGAAAAAGTTGATCCAAAGTTGTGACAGAGCCCAAACATTCATGCTTGTGACAATTAGTGTTGTGAGAGCGAGTAACTAGTTGGATAGATTTTATTGAAAAGTGAAGTACACCAGCTTTAACCCCTTAAACTCTCAGGCCGATTCCCATATAAGTACCATACAGGCCTTTTCACAGCCTGAACATTGTTGAAAATGCTAGAAATTTTACTTAAATTGTAAGTTAGTCTTTTGGGATTCTGTGGATGTGAACATTTTCATGTCTACAATAGTTTGTATGAGTAGGCTACATTATCAAAAAAGGTTGGTTCGCCTAAAAAAAAGAAAGCACATAAATATGATGTCTATACATAATTACTTGAAAAGAAATAAATAAACATAATTAAATGCAACTTCAACCTTTTACTGACACATTGGAGCCGAGTTAAGTCTAGATACCAAAAAAAAATATCACAATTTATGCAGGTTTTGATCCTGTGGAAAATGCATTTGGCATAGTTTGGCACAAAAAAAAGAAAATGTGGTATATCTCAATGAAATTGAAACATTTAGATGCTCATATATATTTGGTTAATAAAAGCCATTATTTTAAACAGGCGAGGGGGAAACGAGCTTAAGGATCTAGAATGTTTTGTTCACTTATTGACCTGTCAGTCTGTTGTCTTTCCCACCGCTTGTTCCCGTTTTAGATTTGGATTTCTGTGTTTTTGTTAATTGTTGTGCTTGATTTTTTTACCTTAGATTTGATTTAATTCCATTAAATTACACTTTTATTTTGCAGTATTGCATTTGGTCCTTTCTGAATAAGCTGATAAAAAGATGTGCCAGAGGCCAAACATACAGTACATGCTTGTGGCCAAAGTGTTGTGAGAGGAAGTAAGAAATTGAATGGATTATTATTGGTCAAGGTCCAAAAGAATTGATAGGATTTCCTTTTTGTATATAGTTATTTTTTTATTTAATTATTTGTATTAAATTTATGTGACATGAGTTTTACTATTATTTTCTGGTTGATTTTTCTGAAAACAAAATGTGTCTATTGTTTACAGTAGATTTAACAAAAAGTGGACCGAATATAACAGTTGTTCATTGCTTTATATATAACTAATGAGGTTTTGGTTTAAAGTTTTAGAATAAATAACATAAGATAAGAGTTCCTTTATTCGTCCCACAGTGGGGACATTTCGTTGTTGCAGCGCACATACAGGACAGTAGTAAGAGCACACAGGGATCACACAATATATACAAAATATGTAGTAGCTATGTTTCTTAACTAGCATAACTGGCTGTAGATTCTGGAAATGCTTCAATACCAGTCAACAAATATATACATGTAGTAGTGCAGAGTTCTGTGACATTCTGAAGGAGCAGTATTGCACATTGCACATGATTTAAGAATTTACTTACAGTAATTACAGATGAATGAAATTTACAGGCTCAGCAGTTCTTATTGTACAGTCTGACAGCAGCAGGAAGGAAAGACCTACGGAACCTCTCCTTCACACAGCGAGGGTGAATTAGTCTGTCACTGAAGCTGCTCTCCAGAGCAGAGAGGGTGTCCTGCAGGGGGTGACAGTCATGGTCCAGCATAGATGTTAGTTTGCTCAGGACCCTCCTGTCCCCCACCTGCTGCACTGTGTCCAGGGAACAGCCCAGGACTGAGCTGGACTTCCTGATGACCTTGTCCAGCTTCTTCCTGTCCCTCTCTGTGATCCTGCTGCAGACCACACCGTACAAGAGGCTCCACCACAGAGTCATAGAAAGTCTTCAGGAGTGGCCCCTGCACTCCAAAAGACCTGAGACTCCTAAACAGGAAGAGCCGGCTCTGGCCCTTCTTGAAGAGGGCGTTTGTGTTATGAGTCCAGTCCAGTTTGTGGTTCAGATGAACACCCAGGTCCACTCTCTCAATGTTCTTTCCCTGGATGTTCACTGGAGCTGGAGCGGCAGAGTGACGTCTGCAGAAATTCACCACCATCTCCTTGGTCTTCCCCGCGTTGATGAGGAGGTGGTTCCGCTGACACCAGTCCACAAAGTCCTGTATGACTCCTCTGTACTCTGTATCATCGTCCTCGGAGCTGAGTCCGACATTTGGTTGTTTTCCTGAGAAAATAGAATATGTAACATGCCTTGGTCGCCCAGTACCATCAATGTTGCAATAATAACAACTGAAATAATATAGGGGCCACTAAAAATGGTCTTGTGGGCCGGATTTTGCCTTTGTGCTTGAGCTTGACGTGCCTGATCTAGAATGTTCAGTTATTTATTGAGTTGAAGTTTTGTCGATATCCCACCTTCCTTCAGTCAGTCCATCTTTCTTTTCTTACAGTGTAATTCCAGCTCAGTCCATGCCATTGCTGCTGGCCCCAGGACCTGCATTAGCTGCGTGGTAAGGCTTTTTATTTCCTTTTTTTGAGACATCCCGATAGTCCTTTTCCTACATTTTTCTTTCTTTTGCCCCGTCCTTCTCTGCTAAGGCATCACACCAGAGCGGGAGATTGACAGCATCCCCAAAGAGTGAGCGCTGGAACAGATGGAATATGAATGCTTCAGCCGTGTATGAAAGCGGAGTCTGGGTGAAGGCACACAGAAAGGATAGCCCACAATTGCCAGTTAAGTATGACTAAATCCCATTGTAACCTGCCCTTATAACATCCCATAATAATCACACGCATAAAATGAAGAGGAAAGAGGAGAGAGACAATGTCCGTCTGTCCATTGTCTTAAACGTCAATAATTATGTGCCTATTGTTATTCTAATAAGTGAGATCCGTGAATACAAAGGCCAAGTGCTAGTATTAATGAGTTATTACTGTAAAGGGTAACGTCACACACACACGTTGAAATCCAGGATTATGAATTATTAAATAAACGTTGTTATATTTTGGCCTGAAGGGTTGTACAAGGGGTCGGAATTAGACTCTACAGAATGTCTTTTTAAATACACTTTCACTTTACTGGGTACATAGTTCTGCGTAATCGTCTGTATATCGACATACACTGTGTGGTGCGAATCTTCAGGTTTTGATATTTTGTTTTATTTTGTAATAGTGGTTCTTCTGTGTGTCATGAGTTTCATTCCTGTGTTGAATGCCTGTCCCACCCTTGATTTCACCTGTGTCTCCCTTTGTGTATTTACATGCTGTTCCCCTTTCCGCTTGGTGTCAGTCTGTTGTCTTTACCCACGTCTTATTCCTGTTTAAAGTTTGGAATTTTTTTTTTTTTTTTTTTGCATTGTACCTTGAATTTGACTTTTTTCTATTAAATTACACTTTTATTTTGCAGTATTGAATTTGTTCCATTTCCTATTTTGACAAATCCCTAATACACACGGATGATTCCCATCTGGAAATTGAACGTATGTCAAGCTGTAAATAGAAGTTCATTACAATTTCAATACATTTGATTAATGAAAGTTGAGATTCCTACTCCAACAAAAAATCAAGTTCCTCGCTCTAAAAACAGTTTTATTATAGTTTTCTCATGCCTGTATCTCTGTCAAATCTTCATATCAGCATTTTCAGACAGAAAAGTGAAAAGGAAAGGATCACCCTCATCCAATCAACTCTCAGCCAAATAGTAAAATAGTGACTCAAAGTGCTCAATATGCAAATTATAAAATGTTTAATCATATTAATAAGATGAGGACAGTATGCTGCAAAAAAAAAAAAAAAAAAAAACTTTTCCCAGTTGAAAATAGTATACCCCAATTTCATTTATTTTCATCTTTTTTGAGAAACTAACAGTACATATTATTGAAAAGCTGGTATGTTACTATGTAATTGTTTACAAATACAAGTTTAGGTCAAGTTTATTAGCAAAACATCTTTACCAAGTTATGTTTTACCAATTGATGTGAAATCGACAAAACCCATGAGATTGATTTAGTTCAATTGTTCAAGTCGTACTGTACACCACTGTAAATGTAAGTAATCTTTATTTATAAAACGCTTTTCACAGACAAAAGTCACAAAGTGTTTTACATTTATGGTGGGCATTTGTCTCTCCACACAGAGATGGGAGCGAGGCTGCCGTACAGGAGG